CCAAGGTCAGCAATACTCCATTTTCCTAATGAAAAAAAATAAGCTCAGAGAGGTTAGATTTATTCACTTGTCCAACATTTACTGAGTACCTACCTCGTATGTGCCAAATATTTTGCTGAGCACTGAGAATACAATGCTGAGCAAAACAAACATGGCCCCTGCCCTCACGGAGCTTACAGTCTAGTGGGAGGGGGAATTAGTCATGGAATGCTGCAAAAAAAAAAAAAATAGCACGAAGGACAGGTTATAGTGGTCTGAGAACAGATAAAAGGGAAAAGTGATTAGTCAAGGAAAGTCCTCCCTGAGGAGGTGATGACTAAGCTGAAGCCTGAAGTTGGGGGGGGGGGGGGGGGGGGGGGGAGGATGTAGTTATGTCAAAATGAAGGAGTACAGGGATACATGTGCCAAATAGAGGGAACATCAGGTGCAAAGGCACTACAGTGGGAAATATATGATGCCTTCAAAGTACCAAGGAAAGGCCAGAGTGGAGATCAGCTAGAGATCACGAGCTAGCATGGTAAGAAATAGAGCTGGAAAGGGAAGCAGAGGGCAGACCGCTAAGGATTGTTTTTTTCACAAGAGCAGTAGGAAGCTATTGGAATGTGGCACGATGGGCTGGAAAAGATATTCCAGATGAGGTCAGAAAACAGCCTGGAGGGAGAGGAAGTGAGTGTGGGGAGACGAGGACACCAGTCAGAGGCCACTGCAGGATCCAGGCAGGAGGTGACGGTGGCCTGCACTGCGGTGACAACAGAGATGGAGAGCTGGCACTGCCCACAGCCACACGGAGCTGAGATTCAAACTTAGGCCTGCGTGACTTCAAAGCCCACGTTTCTCTGCACCTTGCCGTTTATTCATTCACTCAGCAATCAGTAACAGATCATCTGCTACGTGCCAGGCCTGGGCCAGGGGCTGAGGCTATAGCTCTGAATAAAATAGGCACTGCTGTCACGGAATTTATAGTATGGACATTAAACAAACGAGACTACAAGTAGATGTATACAATTATACATTGGGATGAGTGCTATGAAGGAACAATAGTGTGATCAGAGACTTTAAGAAGGAAAATTGTGTGTAAGGCCATGAAGCTCTGCCAAACTGTTGATAATATAAGACAGCCACTTGCCGGCTGCATGTAAGTGAAAGGCTTTGGAAAGCTTCGCCTGTCAGAGTTGGATATGGAGCATCACACTCCTGGCCAGCTCATGAGCCCTCAGGGAAGAAGCTGGTACCTCAGGTTCTGCACAGACCTTGTTGAAATAGAAGCCCTTCTAAAAGCAACTGCTGACTCCTTACTATACTCACATATCCCAACCTCGGGCACCTCTCAATTATGTGTGTACACAGCATTTTACAATTAGCTGAGATCTTTCACACAGATTCATCCCATTGAACCTCACCATAGCACTATGTAGAATGCAGGCAGGTTTGAATATCCTGCTTGAGAGGTAAGGAAATTGAAGCCTACACAGGTGAAGTGACTTAACCAATGTCACCAAGCTAGGAAGGCACCCAGATCTGCCATCTAGCTCTCACTAGAAGCATCTCCAGCCAGGAACTGTGAATCTCCAAAAGACAGCTGCAGGTCACTGAGCCTGGATAAAGTCACCCAGGAGTCCCATGAAGTTCCCAAGAACAATGATCAGGGACACCAAGCAGCTTGAGAAAGGTTTCTAGAATGCAGCTTCCCCAGCCTGAGACCCAGGTACCTTTGCCAACTTTCCCAGATTAGAACAGGTTCACTTGGACTCTTTCCAAGTGCCTCTGACTAACAGAGAAAAGTATTTTTCCATCGCAAACACTGCAGGCAGGCACTAGACTCCTGAAGGGGGAGGGCAAAGACTGCATCCAGATTCCTATAGAGACAAACTGTCAAGTTATCCGCCTAGCTAAACACCTACCCCTGGGGGTCGCAGTCTTGGGCTGTAGTTCTCGATCACGGCACAACTAACATTTTGAGCTGGGTATTTCTTTGTTGTGGAGGATGCCCTTGCATTGCAGGATGTTTAGCAGCATCCCTGGCCTCGACCATCGGGATGGCAATAGCACCCCCTAGTTGTGACAACCAAATATGTCTTCAGACATTGCAAATGTCCCCTGGGGTACAAAATCTCCTGTGGTTGAGAATCATGGCCGAAGGCCTGTGGAGAAGAGGGGAAGCAGAATCCATTCCCTTTCTCTCATCCTAACCCACCCCACCCCACCTCACTGGACAGTCTGGTCACTGTGCAGAAACTTTTTAAATCAGTATCACATAACGCCTTTCCCAAGGAGACCGGGAGCAGCCTCTGCACTACTGTGGCCAGCCGGTAGGTCCTGGGAACAGTTCACCGCTGGAGCTTGTGAAAACAACTGGAGTCAAATAACTCCTCGTTCTACTAATGAGCTGCTTCTGACCCTGCGAGCAAATCTTGTTCCCGTTAACATGAGCAGCTGAGTCTGATTAAACTGGAAGCCCTGGGTGTTTCTTCTCAATGACACTGAGCCCGGTCAAGGCTTCCCATGCTGCCAGATGGAGCGCAGCACTGGGAAATCAAAGAGCAGCACTCCCCTTTACCCGAAACTCGGCACAGCCACCGGGACACGCAGCCATCCCAGCCCTTAGCCATTCTGAACTTTGGAGAAAGGGGAACGTGACAAGTATATAAACAAATGATCTGAATTAACAAGTTAATTAAACAGCTGAAACATTTCCAAAAAGGAAAAAAATCACGCTCTCAAGTGGAGGTGGAGGCCCGAAGCTGAGCTCCAGAGCAGCTGGGGTGACTCAGACAGCGCCACATCCGTGGGTTCCAACCCCCACCCAGAGGGCTGGGCTGCTGGCCCCGAAGTGGAAACCAGCATCAGTTACAATGCTTCAAAGCCAGACTCAAAGCGGCATCTTTACATCTTTCATTAGTCAGAAATCTAACTAGGTAAAGGGTTTACTGACAGACTCAACCAAACTCACTACCATTTGGTAGTAAGTGTGTTTTCCTGCACTGCAATTCTTTGAAGGCTGACTAACCATGAAACGCCTACCTGTTAACACTCAATTACTCATATGACTGCTAGTTTCTATGTTACCTCTGCACGCTACACTTAGCTCTATTGTTGCACATCTCATACTGCAATGTACTGAATTTTCATAACAGATCTGTCTCCCCTAGTGGACAGGGGGCTCCTTGAGGGCAGTGTTTATATCTAGTACAGTGATGGTATATAAACAGATTCTCACCATATGTATGATGGGCATATGGGCGGATGCATGGTAAAGTCTTCCTTCTCTAGACTCTTCTACTTAAGCCTGTCTACACATCCTGGTGGAAGGGCATGGCCCATGTGTCCTCTCCTGTTTCTCCAAGGCTTATAAGGACATTGCTCAATAGGTTCCCAATAAACAACAACTGATGTGGTTGGGCTTCTGAATCCAAAGAGACAAACTGAGCCTTCTGTTCATGAACTAGTGAGTCCAAGGAAAGGGGCCAGAAATCCTAGCTGTCTACCCTGCTTCATATGCATCTGAATGTGTTTTGTCTCTTAACCAGATGCAGGTTGATGCAGGAGATGAATACATTCTCTGCTAGGCAGTAGAGATGATATGGCACCTTCTCTCACAGAGCTCGTTCATTGTCTGCAGGAAAAGACAGACATTAACGATTATACAAATAAGCAGCTATCAGGCTCGGTGAGTGTTTTAAGAGAAGCTTCTGTAGATGTGGCCCATCTTCAAGTGGTCTGAACCTCTTGCAGGAGAGTCGTGATTTTCCTTCAAATAAATAACACACTTTCCTCAGAGCAATCTCTGAAATTTGTTATACAGAAAGGTTATTATACACCTTTGCAATATAGGCCTTTGTTCCAAAATTATTGTAAATGGTTTTAAAAGATCAATGAAAAGCATCATAACGATGAATACTTGTAAGTCTATGCCTGCTTGTTCCAATGTGTCGTAGGTGTGACTTACCAAGGATAACCAAAGTGATTTGAAAACCTACAAAAGCCAGCAAGTACTGGAATAACAGTCACCAGATGTTTGGGAGTCTAGAAAGCCAGGCTCAGCTAATACGCAGGCCAAGAGCAGGCAAGGGGACTCCTGAGAGAAGCCCTGAAGTTCAGAAGGCCTTCCCAGGATAACAGAGCTTGAGAATTACAAACTACCTGCCTGGGAACCTCTCTGTACATCAGCAGGAGCCCTAGGAAGGCAGGAAAGAGGAAAGGCCATGAAAACACAAACCACAAGAACAAAGTCAGGGATATGAAGACCAGGAAAGAACTGCCCTAAGGGAAGGATGAGAATAAAACAAAGACTCAAGAAAGGATAAAAATGCCAAAAACGGGGTGGCATGGCATGTGAGGATAACATCTGAGGGAATATACGGGATGTCTGAATCAATGTACATAGTTCATTAAGGTTAATAAAAATTTGAATCAAAGTACCATGCCAGCTTTGATTCAAAAGAATGATCCTGCCTTCAACCGTGAAACACAATGGTTGGCAAAAGTAGGTTTACAGTTGTTCCTATGGAAAATACAATAATTAATAAATAATAATACAACAATAAACTGGTTCGCGTACCCACGACTATAAGCCTACTTTTGCCCACCCCGGTATTTATCTGTAAATTAAAAGTTCCTACTGCCTTTAATTTAGACTCAGGTGGAAGTGCAAGCAGAGTGCTCTCTTCAGCTATCACAAGGCAGACCCCCCGACCGCCTGGACAAATTTCTGGGTAGTGCTTGCTGCAGTGGGTTCCTTCCCAAAACCTCATGGGCTCTTAGGGCCAGAGGGCAATAACCTAACCCAGCCTTGCCTTTTTGGGTGCAAACCTGTGATTCAGAGATGAAAAGCCACATATCTGGCTGATTGCAGAACCAGATCCCACGTACTCCCATTCCCGGTTCTCAAAACTTTTCATTGCTAGACTCTGACCTACCTAACCCTGATCATCCGTGGCTGTTTAGACAGCTGTCCCCCACCGCTGCTCTTACCAACCACAAATTCTCTGCTGCTTTCTTACCTGTCTGAGCAACCAGGTGGGTCCACCCACTCCAGACAGCAGTGACCTTTTCATTCTGAAAACAACGAGCTTCTATTTTCTGGGGCGTAGGACAGAACGCAGCCTGGGAAGCCAGTTGCCCGTGCTTGTTGCTTCCCCAAACATACAGCTCTCCGGCGTCTTAAATAAGCAGAAGGGGAACAGAAGAGGTTAGGGGGCATTCATCCAAAATGATGGGAAAGAACACAAGTCTGGAAAAAAAGTGGTTACAAAAAGTTGTGTTATTTTTATGCTACAATGCTGAGTAGAGCAATGCAAGATACATAATTCATATATAAGATTTTTTAAATTCTATAAATAGGAAACAAGGCCAAATACTCTTAGTAGTTATCAGGGAATAGGAATATGTGAGTTTATTTTTCTACTTACTCATTCAACAAATATTTATTCAACAGCTACCATGGGAAAGATGTTTCTCTATATTCTATAGCTTTGAAAATATATGCTTGCATTACTTTTTGTTATTATTTTGTTAGGAAAACTATATCAACTTTTTAAAAGAACAGGTTAAAAAATATAGGACTTAAGCTTATACTTTTGTTTTAATTTTTAATTTAAATTTCAGTTACAGTTGACATGCAATGTTTATTAGTTCTAGGTGTCCAGCATAGTGGTTAGACATTTATACAACTTACTAAGCGATCCCCCTAGTAAGTCTAGTACCCATCTGACATCATATATAGTTATTACAACATCATTGACGGTATTCCTGATGCTGTATGTTACACCTGGGTGACTGCTTTTTTAACTGCCAACTTTTTATCCCTTCACCTTTTTCACCCAGCCTCCAACCCCCAACCCATCTGGCAACCATCATTTTGTTCTCTGTATCTGTGAGTCTGTTTCGGTCTTGTTTGTTTAGTTTTTTAGATTCCACATATAAGTGAAATCACATGGTATTTGTCTTTGTCTGACATATTTCACTTATTAAACTTTTTAAATAGAAGATTTCACTGCACACCCTGTCCAGCACACAATACCTGGCTACCACGTTGCATCTGGTAGCACTTTAGTTCACTCAAACCTCACAGTCATCCTGTGATACAAGCAGGGATACAACTGACTGACACTGTGATTTAATAGAAAAAGAGCACATTCAGAGCCAAGTGACTGGCTTCTATTCTGGGACCTGCTAACTAGCTATTGACCTTGCACAGTCACTTCCTCTCCAAGCCTTAGTTTCACCAGCTGAAAAATGGAGGTTAGTCTAGGAGGGCCAACAATGTCACTGATGACACTGGTAACGAGAGAGATGGGTGGGCGACTGGCGAACCAGCAGGCACATGCTTGTCTAAAAGGCATTTGGGTCCAAAAATAATGTAACTGGAAATCAAACAAAATGGGACCATGGGCTATAACTGGGCCTATGAATCTACAATTTGTGGCTCCTTCAATGATCTCAAAGGGCTTTTCCAACCCTAGTTCTAAGGTTCTATAATTTCCTCACATACAGCTCCTGGACTCCTGAAATGTGGCTAGTCCAAACTGGAACGTGTTATAAGACAAAAAAAGCACAATGGATTGCAAAGACTTGCTAAAAACAAATAAAGAAATAAGCCATAGCTTGTTAATAATATTCACGTTGATTACACATTGAAATAGCATTTTGGGTATGTGGGGTTAAGTGAAATATATTATTAAAATTATTTCACCTGTTTTTCTTTATTTTTTGAAACGTGACTCACATTTTTTTCCTACTAGACAGCACTCTTCTAGATTATAAATTACTCAAGGCCAGGAGGTGTTAAATGACTTTTCAGATCACATGGCTAACGAGGAGTCAAGCAGGATAAGAAGCCAGGCCTTCTGTTTCCACTGTATTTTGTGACCTCGCAATAAAGCTTTATGGTCCTGCCTGCCCTAGGGCAGTCTGGTATATTCTCAAGAACTGATCAAAAGCCAAACGATACCATTAATGGGCATTAGACCAAGATTCAGGGTTCAAGTCCCAGATCTGCTGCTCTGTCACTCTGACATTGGACATGTCACTTCATACCCTGGGCCTCCGTTTCATCTCGTCTAAAATGAGGGAGTATAATAGGTAGAGCTTTTTTGTCACCCGGGTGACCTTGCAGCACGGACATTCTGCAGTTCTATGGTGTATTTCATGCAGCCTCCCTGGATTTCACCAGGGTGTGCAAAGTATGAGGATCCTTTACAGGAAGGCAGAAGAGACCCTCAGCAAAGTCTCAACCCATTAAATGGCCTGGTTAGCTACCAAGATGCCATTGAGCATGAGCCTGTGTTTGTAATAAGCTTCTATTTACCTTAGTAAACCCAAACCACCTTTTTGTGAACACAAACTGCCTTCCACATGCGGATCATTGCACTGTTGCAAAATTAAATTCTGCTGCAATGCCAGAAGGTTACATAATCTACAACTCCAGAGAAAAGGTCTAAAAAGCACTGAGCAAGGCCCAATGCCTTCACAGCTTGAACTAGAGAGGAAAAAGGGGTATTAATGTTGACAACTTTTAACCGACATTAAAATATCCCAAAACAACTCACTTTGTGAATATACTAAAAATCACTAGATTGTACAATTTAAAAGGGTAAATTTTATATATGAATTACATCTCAATAAAATAAAAGTTCAACATATTTTTAAAACACCAAAATAAAAGTGCTCCACATATAAAATAAACAACTTCACTAATTAGATGATTTTTTAAGAAATTAATGTTAGCAAGCAGTTAAAGAATCTCTAGGTTTATATAATGCCAACTATTTCAAATTAACTAAAACAGTAGAAACATCTCTTAGCCTGTACTGTTTCTCAGAAAAGAATGCCTTCCCCAACCTTCATTGACTGTGGGGCATGAACTAGTCATTTCTCACCCTGAGACCTCCAGTCCTTCCTATGTAAGTGGCATTCATTTCAACTCAACTCTCCACATACATGTACAAATCTACCTAATAAAAGACACAGGCTAAAAGTAGGTATTTTTTTTGTTGGTTGTTTTAAATTCATTAAATAACAAATTATATGTAGTTCAGAGTATGTTAAGTATTTAAACTCTTATATTATGCTTCTGTACTTGTTTGGAAACAACAGCTTTTCAGTTGCATTGCATTTCAAATTTGATGTTGAAAAGATATGAATTAACTTATATATGCTATGTACACACCTTAATTTCCACATAAAACACTATGCAAAGAAGTCATTTCCCTTTGCTTGAAATGTAATGCAGCCCTGACTAGTGTGGCTCAGTTGGGTGGACGTTGTTGTCGGGCGTCGTTAGGCAAAGGGAAAGGTCGCTAACTAGATTCCCAGCTAGGGCGCATGCCTAGGTTGTGGGTACGAGAGGAAACCAATTGATGTTTCTTTCTCACATGGATGTTTCTCTCCCTCTCTTTCTCTCTCCCTTCCCTTCTCTCTAAATAAACAAAATCTTTTGAGAAAAATGTAATGTATTTATCTGTGTGGGAGGTCTTAACCAAAATAAATTTCTCAGAGCTACAGTCTACCAGCAGGGGGCAGGGCAATCTGGGCTCCAAAAGAAAGAACCTTTGAAAGAGATAACCTTCACTTTCAAAAAAATACTACACCGACACTACAAAGTTTATACTGTATTGGCTGGGTGTGTCAAATGTATGCATGGATGTACAGCTAGGCAGATATAGTATGAGAGAGAAAAAAGGTTATATAAAGGAATAGATCAAAGATAAGGAATAGAGAAATAAAAATACAAAATAGATTAGAAAAACATACATAACTAAATTTAGATAGATATATGGATACATAGATTAGACAGAAAAATACAAGGATGAAAGATCAATAAAAACAGAGCAATATAGTTAAATAAATAAAATAGAGTAGATAAATATAGAAAGAGTAAACAGGGAGATAAATGGATTAGAAAGGTTAGTTTGAGATTGAACAGAAAGAATAAATAGCTAGAGAGCTTCGATAGTTACATTAGACACTTAAATAGATTAAATGGGTGAGATAACAATGTTACATATAAATTTACTGTTGGTTATATGATTTGACAATCACAATTACCCTGAGAGGAACATACTCTTATCCCTATTGTGCAGTTGAGGAAACAACGTCAGAGAAAAGGAAGTAAGCCCATATAAGTGTTTTACATATATGGTCATACTTAGTTCTTAGAACTACCCACAAAGTATTTTATAAACAAAAAAATGGTCTTGGGAAGGTAAAGTGAGCTGTCTGAGATCACACAAGCGGTGACATCAGAACACTGACTCCAAAGCCCATGCTCTTCCCTGTAGATCCCAGTACCACCAACTTGAAGAAGAAACATACAGAACTGTGAATGGCATGTTAAACGTCAAGAGCTGGTACCTACCTGTCAATGAAGCGGAGTGATCGGAGCCAGCAACAACACAGATTGCTTTAGAATTCTCTAGACCTACAAAAAAAAAATCTTTAGAAATTACACTTATAACAGAGCAAACTGGGCAGAGAAGGGGCTCAGGCAGCACCAGCTGGGTCTGGGAGAAACTCGCAGCCGCTGCAGGCAGGTCTCAGTCGGCAGCACTGGCCGAGAAGGTGGCTAACACGGTTACAAACCGGGGGACTGAACAAATAAGGAAATACACTGAGGATAAAGGAGCTCACTATCAGAGAGGAGGGGAAAGGTACAGATATGAAAAGGCAGAAGGCTAGCATCGACCTTGTGATATGGGATTGCAGTTGGAGAAATCAGTGTAGAATCATGGTTTCTAGCAGGACAGATAATGAGAGAGAGGTATATGTATGTATAAATACGCATATTTCCTAGCTCTGTCCACTGGGGGAGCCTACAAAAATGGCATCTTGTACATTCAGCTGCTACAACATGGAGACACTAAAATACATGCCCAGGCTCCCTAACAACACACAGGATCTGACATGTCTCCCATCTCCAAACCCAGCACTTTCCTCCCTTAATTACACTGCCTTAACTGATAAGGCATAATCCCAGCCAGCCCCGGTAGACGTCGTGGTCACCCGGTCTAGAGAAAGTCAGTCATTCTGTAACTCCTTTTTTCTAACACATCTGCTTAAGCAACCACTGTCTTAATAAAATGCTCCTCAGCCTTAAAGTGTCCTGTGGAATGAGAAAGGGACACAGCAGATGTGTCTGCCACATTCCCCAGAGAGAAAGCATTGGGCCCCTAGTGGCCTGGTGAGGAGGGACACCCAGGGTTACACTCCAGGACCTCGGGCAGTGAGGGAAGACAGCAGAATGAAAAATGAAAGACTTTGAGGGCAGGCAGTTGATAATCTATTCTAATGCCTCCTCAGAAAACTCCCCTAATTCAATTCTGAATCTAAGCTGTGCACTGAGCAGATCTCAGACAGGTTGTTCAAATCAAATCAAATAAAAACACTTCTGAATTCCTCCCAGTTACAGTTCTGTGCTAAAATAGAAAGCAGACACAGTTCCTGCCCTTAAAAAACTCAGACTCTTTGGCATGTGGGAAAATGTATAAACAACTCATAATAACACAATACACTGTGCTATCCACACATGTGAGAAAATGCAACGGAGGCGAGAGGTGGGAAGAGCCTTTACTGAGAAAGCTGTATGTGAGCTATGCCTTTAAAAATTATCAGGATTTTTCCAGGGGAACAAGAGGGGAAAGGCAGAGGTAACAGTCTGCCCATAGGCACAGAGGAATGAGAAAACAGGGTACACCCAGGGAGCAGTGAATACCTTGATGAGGCAGGGAAAAAAAAAATGCCATGGGTGTCACGTGACATTTTCAAGTCACGTGAAGCGGACTGCCTGTCCAGCATCCAGTGCCCCTTTCTCCTCTAAGAGTACCCTCCCCGACTCAACCATGGGCTTCAGGGTAGCTAATCACACCCCCAGAGGAAGGGGAGAGCTTGCAGGATGTAGGAAAATCAGACATCTTATACACCACTCCCACCGCAGCTTACCCTTCGCTTTTCTTTCCCCCACTTTCTACCACCCTCAAAAATTCTGGCTAGAGGAGAGTAGTTAGAGGTTTCCTGTAAAGGTTTCATTTCAGCCAAGCATCACTAAACTGGTCACAAAGTCAGAGAGCAAGAAAGGAAGAAGACATTCAGTCGTGGTGTTATATTCAGAGAGAGAGAGAGAGGCCTGCAAGTGAGTGTAGAGCAGAGGGAGAGAGGAGAAGAAGGAGAGAGAAAGAATGAAAACGAGTCCCGGCATGAAACAGATAAGCAGAGAAAGTCCTACAGAGAACGGAACAACAACAGGCCTGCGGACAGGAAACTTGCTGACTACCCGTCGTGTGCCCCTGTAGAGAGGCTTCCCTAGGGGAACCCGCCTGGCCTCCCTCTCCTCATCAGCACTCACTCCTGCCTTCCCTTGGGAGAAAGTGCTGGGCACGCGAGGCACGGTCCTTCCAGGTTCTCCCCACAAAGCGCTCAGCTCTACGCTGCTGCTCCAGCGCCTGGCAGGTAAGTTCAATCTGGGACTCAGAATTCAGAGGTTCCTTATGACTACACATTATTTCCAAACCCCTAACTCATGCCTTCCAACCTAGCTTTTAACAGTTCTGGAGCTATTGTTTTGGTCCACATACCTTGCATCTCTCTCTCTCAAGGAGTTCCAAACTATGGCAGCAAAGAGAGATGCTTTTACTGGGCCCACAAAAATCCCAACAAAACTAGTAGACCAACCAACAGAAAGAGTTAAGGCACAGAGACTAAGAAACTGCAAAAGCAAAACTCCATTTACCCATTTTCTGCATGCCTGCGTCTCCACTTCTTCACAAAGAATCAACATAGGACGCAGAAGAAACAAGGGCCTTACCTGTCACTCTGCTGGGTTCCTTTGCTGTCAAAAACGGTGGGAGAGTCTGCCCAGGGCACAACCGCCGTCCAGAAGACGCCAGTCCAGTTCCCCACTGGAACACGATGCCACTTGCTTCCCAAATGAGCAGGAGAAAAAAAGAAGAAAATGCTTATTTGGGTAAGACCAGGTTGCTCTCTGAACCTCACTGCCATGGGAGACTCCCAATTCACTCTCGGTTAACACATGTATGGCGGGGAAGCTTATTGCTTCCAGGGCCCTACGACGGGTCACGGGGGTTACCAGCAAGCTGATCGCAAACCCAGTCTTTAGAGCAATCTAAGGCCCTCACAGAAAATTCCAGTATAGTCAGACTCCCTCCAAAAAGTGCCAGGACACTCCTCCAGGGTCAAATTCCTGATGACGTCTTGTTCATGACTGACCTGAAACGGCCACTCAGACTCCAAACTGAGCAGGAAAGAACCTAGAAGATGATCAAATCCATTCCTTACATTTACTAGATGGGAAAACGGAGACCCCGAAGAGGGGGTATGATTGTCATAAAAGGAGCTAATAGCAAAGAAAATGCTAGAACTCAGCTCTCCTAACACCGAATGTGGTGCTCTTTCTACTACACCAAAATGAATTCAAAGATTCTTCTGCTAAATAAATTTATGACTGCAAGAGAGCTTCTTAATAAATAGCCACTATTTCAGTGGGATGGGCTTTTATTTCCATGTCTGCTGAGTCTAATTCATGTACCCACGTTCTGTACCTCATACAAATGCATAAATGAAATTTTATATATTTGGCCTACAGTCAGATGTGTGTAACTAGGATCCATCACCCAAAAGCAACATTAAGGTCCTGATCCTCCAGAAATATCCCATAACTTATGGTCCTTAAGGTGTAAACAGACAAGCCTGCTTTGTGTAATATAAGTGATGACGACCAAGCACAGTGTAAGCAAAACATGATGTTGAAATAAAACAAAAGTTAACATGTCTTTAACAAATAAATTGCAAGGGGGAAAAAGAAAGGAAAAGGAATTTATAGACTAAAAATGACTTGAGATATCTGATACAGGATTAATTTCAGAATATATAGAGAACTCCTAAAACTCAACACAAAAACAAATGACCTTATTTAAAAGTGAGTAAAGGACTTGAATGAACATCTTCCAAAGAAAATACACAAATGGCCAATAAGGACATGAAAAGATACTCAATATCACTAATTAGGGAAATGCAAATCAAAACCACAATGATGTGCCCACTGCACACCCATTAGGATGTATACTGTTTAACAACAAAAACAGAAAATAGCAAGTGTTGGTGAGGATGTAAAGAAATTCGGGAATCCTTGTACACTGTTGGTGGGAAAGTATGATCATCTAACCACTATGTTGTACACCTGAAACTAACACAAAATAATACTGAATGTAAGCTGTAATTGAAAATTACATTTTTAAAAAATGGTACAGCAATTATGGAAAACAATATGGCAGTTCCTCAAAAAATTAAAAATAGAATTACTATATGATTGGGTAATTCTATTTCTGGGTACACTTCCTAAAAAACTGAAAGTAGGATCTCCAAGTAATATTTGTACAACCATGCTGATAGCAACATTGTTCACAGTAGCTAAAATGCGAAAGCAACACAGGTGTCTATCAACAGAGGAGTGAATAAGGAAAATGTGGTATACATGCAATGAAATTATTCAGCTTTAAAAAGCAAGGAAATTCTGACACATGCTACAACATGTATAGATCTTGAGGATATTATGCTAAGTAAAATAAGCCACAAAGAGACTAACACTGTACGATTCCATTTATATGAGGTACCTGTATGAGTAGTGAAAATTATAGAGACAGAAAGTAGAATGGTGGTTGCCAGGCCTGGGGGAGATAGAAATGGGGAGTTTTGGTTTAGTGGACATAGCTTCAGTTTTACAAGATGAAAAAAGTTCTGGAGATAAATAGTGGAAATAGTTGTACAATAATGTGAATGTACTTAAAACCACTCAACTGTACACTTAAAAAATGGTTAAAATGGTAAATTTTGTTGTGTACCTTAGCATAATAAAAAATTTTTAAAGTATAAATATTTTTTTAAAAAGAGACAGACTTGGGATACATATCAACCAATTGCACTGAACACACGTAATTTGGATCTTGATCCAAACAAACTGTAAAAAAAATATTTTTGAGACAATCAGGAAATTTAAATGCTGACTGGATATAATTTGATGGAATTACAGAATTATCGTTAATTTTTGCCAGTATGACGATGGCATTTTGGTGATATTTTCAGAGAGTCCTCATCTTTTAGAACTGCAGCAGAAATAGTTACAAAATGAATGAGGGAGGGGAGGACTTACAATTAACTTAATCAAACCGTGCTGCTTTGTAAAAGTGTAATTACAACCATACGACTCAGCAATCACACTCCTGGGCATTTATCCCAGAGAAATGAAAATTTATGTTCACATAAAAACTTGTCCACAAATGTTTATAGCTTTATTCTTAATAGCCAAAAACTGGAAACAAGCAGATGTTTTTCAATGGGTGACTGGTTAAGCAAACTGTGGTTGTTATGGACTGAATTATGTTGAAACCCGTTTCAGTTCAACCCAAAAATTCATGTTGAAGCCCTAACCTACAATGTGACTGTATTTGGAGACAGGGCCTATAAGGAGGCCACGAAGATCAAATGGGTCAGAGGAGTTAGGCCTTAATCTGGTAGACCCAGTGCCCTTATAAGAAGAGAAATACCAGAGGTCCGTCTCTGTCCACGTGTATAGAAAGGAAAGGCCATGTGAGGACACAGCGAGCAGGCAGCCATCTACAAGTCAGAAAGAGAGGTCTCACCAGAAACCAATTCTCACGGCACCTTGATCTTGGACTTCTAGTCTCCATCACTGTGAGAAAATTCACTCCTGTTGTTTGAGCCACCCAGTCTGTTGTATTTTGTTATGACAGGCTGAGCTAATACAGTGGTACCTCTAAACCATGGAATACTAGCCAGCAGTATAAAGGACCATATTATGGATACTCAAAATTTGGATGAATCTCCAGGGAAGCATGTTGAGCCAAAATAATAATAATAATAACAACAACAACATAACCTCAAAAGGCTGTATACTCTATGATACCATTTATATAACATTCTTGAAATGACTAGAAATGGAGAACACAAGAGTAGCGGTCAGGAGCTAAGCAGGTAGAAAATGAGTGTGGCTATAAAGGATGACAAGTGTCTCCTTCTGGTACTGGAGCTGTTCTGTACCTTGGCTGTACCAAGATATCCTAGTTGCACTGTTGCTATTGGGAGAAATTGGGCAAAGAGTGCATGAGAGCTCTTTCGTAAGCGCGTGTAAATCTATAATTACCTCAAAAAAAGTTGTTGGTTTTTTAACTACAATCAATACTAAGCCCCAGGCCACCGTAAGCACAGTGCAGCACCACACTATTCCTCGCCTCCTGTCCTCACCCCACTGCACAACTGGACTCACCAACCACCTTGAGCCTCGGCTGCCACAGCTGGTTAGGGCTGTCCTTCAGCCCGGGAGTGGGAGCCGAAAAATGAGCCAGGGAGAGAGAAAAGGGTCACTGCTCTTCCACCAGCCACTGTCCCTGTCTACTCATCACCCTCAACCTCACATACACTGTCAGCCCTGTATCCACGGCCCTCTCATGGTCCAGGGGAAAAGCTCATTTGCACATTTTAAATTAAGAAAAATTAAAATCCCACTAGTGCAGTCACAGCAAAGAAAGTGGGCCTTGGAAGCCAGACCATCCTAGACTCTGATCCCAGCTCCACCTTTTACTACCTTACTCCCTGTGCAACCTTAGATGAGCACTTTGGCTTCTCTGCACCTCAGTTTCTTCATACACAAAAATTTAACTCATCGCACTGCATGGTTGTGAGGATTAAATGAGGTGATAATTAAGTCAAGAGAACCTAGCGCCATGCCTAGAACATAATAAAGAGCTGAAAATTTTCATTTCCTTCCTCCCTACCTGCTAAAGGCTTTCCCACATGACTTTGACCTTATGGCCCCTCCTTTGAAGCAGAAGTGCAGCCACGCAGGACACTTCGAATTACCCCTTAAAGTTCGTTTCTCCTAAAGCTCTGTTTCTCCTTATCACACACACCTATTTAGAAAAATAAAAGCAAAATGATCACCTGTAGCAGCTAATGCATGCCTCAGTCCAGCAGCAATACTAACAACCTTCTCTCTCAGGAGCTGTCAAAACAGAGAAAAGGATTGAAATCTCAGAATCATCCATCTACAAAATGTTATGTGATTGCTGCCCAAATGCAATGCAGCATGGCCCTCATTATGTATCTGATTGGTTTAGAGGCCCCAGCCGACAGCATTTCCATTCATAAGTACCTCCATATGTATCACTAAAAGACAAGTCTTTTAGAAATACCGTATCACGATGCCTCGCAGGGACGGGGGGACCTGTAAGTTCATCCACTCCAGGAGTTGGCGAACTTTCTATCATGGGCCAGAGAGTAAATATTTTAGATTTTGAGGGCCATGTGGTTTCTGTCACACTACTCTACTCTGCCACTGTAACATAAAAGCTGCCATAGACAATACACAAATGTACAGGTGTGGCTGTGTTCCAATGAAACTTTATTTACCCAGGGTTCCAGTTTGCAGATTTTGATCTAACCCAACCCCCATCCAATACTAGAAACCACTCCGCAGCACCCCACCAAGTAGCCATCAGCCCCTGCCAAACACCTGCTTCCAGTGACACAGGCTCACCACCTCCCCACGTACCTGTTCCCTCTCTCTCCTTAGGTGAAGCCAAACCTATCTGTCTATAGCTTCTGACAATGCTTTCAAATATGTGAAGACAGCTGTGACATCCTCTCTAAGATGTCTTGTGGTGGTTTTAAAAAGAGGCCCTCCCATTCTTTGAGACCCCCTTCCTTCAAGGTGTGCAGCTTAATTCCCCTCTGGCTGAGTGTGGGCTAGACTTAGTGACCTATTTCCAGTGAACAGAATAAGGAAGTGATGAGTGGCTCAGAGACCAGGTGATAAAAAGCACTGAGGCTTCTTGCTTGGCCTCTGGGAGAAAGCAAGCCAGAGGCCATGTCTGAACCGTCCTACAGAGAGGCTCATGTGGCAAGGAACCACCAGGTGAGAGAGGGAGAAGTGGGTCTGCCAGCCCAGTCATGCCTTCAGCAGGCCCTGGCTGACATCTTGACTGTAACCTCATAAGAGACCAGCTAACCTGTTTCTGAATTCCTGACTCTCAGAAACTATGAGGTAATAAATGTTTGTTGTTTTAAGCTGCTAAACTTTAAGTTAATTTATTAAAAGCAGTAGATAACTAATACATTTCTCTTCTTTAGACCAAACGTCCCCAATCCCATCGGCCATCACCCAATTTGAAATTCCTTCCAAATTCAGCAGAAATTCTTGGTTCTGCTCCTCTAAATAAGCTCTGATTACTCAATCGCTCTTTTTGAAAGGTTCTGTATATGCATCAATCACAGCCCCAGTGGAGCTTTACTACATTTGTTTATTTACAGACCCACTGTGTCTTTCTAAACTTCAGGACTCCCAAGGGCAGGGTCTGAGTCTTAGCTTCATGCCCAGGGCCTGCGCACCAAACCCACAGCAGAACACAGGGTCCTGGACGCAGCTGACTACTAGCACAAAGAACAGGGCTCCGGCCTCCCTTCTTCTAGAGACTGCCTTTCTGTTAAGGGAGCCTAGAATCATATTAGATTTGGGGAAGATCAAATTGTACTGCTAATATAATTTGAACATACTGTCCTATAAAATGTTTTTTTTTTCTTCCAAAATTAACTAACAGGCTTTACATGTGGAGTCAGTCTCTTCAACATCTTCAGCTCACCTCTATTCCTTCCTCTCCATCCCAACTACCACTGCTTTGGTTTGGACCACGACCGTCTCTTGTCTGAACTATTAGCAAGAGTTTCCTGGGTAATCTTCCTTCGATCATCCCCCTTGCTGCCCCATTCAGGCCCCTCCCTACCACACTGTTCTTACCATTTGTGTACACTACCTCCCCAGCGGGCCCCTCCCCATAGGCACTTCCAACCTTTTCTTATACTCCAACCCAACTAAACTGCTTGCAGTGCCTCAAACCCTCCGGTTTTATGCATACATGGTTCCTTCTGTCTGGAATGCTCTTCTTCTGTACCAACTCTGTGCATCCTATCTCAAGCCAGGTAAACTTCCACTCAACTTTCAGGAGTCAGCATAGGCCTGTTCTCCCCCTACTTTCCCCTGGAAAGAAGAATTCCGTACTCCCTCCTTTGAGCCCATACAGACATGTACCCAAGTTCTAACATGGTGATGCATGTAAGTGTTTCTAAATCTAACATGTCCTCAAACACTAGGATTGGATCGTACCTTTGTCCCCGCTGCCTAAACACAGCATATATATTATTAAATAAATAAATGAATTTCTATATTTCACTTTGGCACCTCCTTCCCATTGTTCCATAGGAATAGCCTGTCAAAACATTTTTACCTCCTGATTCAGTCAACCGATATATTTTAACCATTGTTCTCTGTCTTCTTCAATCGTGACTTAAGCTAAATTAATTATAATTTAAAAATAGGTTCTTTAAAAGCCATCTACTTATAAATACATAAATACCATCTATTTATTAATATAATTAGAAGCTGTGACACTTCCTACAACAGGGGCTACAGAACTTAGACTTCCATGTACAACATGTGGTGCAGACTAAATGTTTGTGTTCTCCCGAAATTCATATATTAAGATCTATTACCCAATGGGATGGTACTTGGAGTGGGGTCTTTAGTAGGTGATTAGGTCATGAGCACAGAGCACTCATGAATGGGGTCAGTGTTGTGATAAAAAATATCCCCGAGATCTCCTTTGCCTCGTCTGCCATGAAAGATGCAGCAAGAATACGGCCGTCTGTGAACCAGGAACTGAGCCATCACCAGACTCCAAATCTGCTGGCTCCTTGATCTTGTACTTTCCAGCCTCCAGAAATGTGAAAAATGAATGCTTGTTATTTAAGCAATCTAGTCTACGATATTTCTGTTATTGCAGCTCAAACAGACTAAAACACCATGGAAACCATGACCACAAACAATAGCCCCACAGACAAGCAATTGTAATTCAGCAGGATCATGGGAGAAGACCAAGCTGTCTCCAGTGAAAATAGATCTCCCACTCTTGAGTCAGAGTTTTAGGAAATTAGATAAGAGTGGAGCAGGTTAGGTAGCAAAACTCATGTTAGATCCAAGCATAGTTCTTTAAAAATATTCCATAGTCCTAGAATGATCACTTACAGTATAAACTTCACCAAAATGTGTACCTTTTAAGTATGATGCAGTGAAAAGAGTTCTAAACGAGGGCCAGGAGTCCTGTTCTATACTCATGCTATTCACTATGGTAGCCACTGAGCCACAGGCAACTACTGAACAACTGAAATGTGACTAGGTTGAACTGAGACGTACCGTATGTAAAAAATGTACACCAGAGTTCAGCCTAGTACGAAATAAATGATATAAAATATCTCATGAGTGAATTTATATATTAATGGCATATAAAATGAAATAATAGTTTGGATACATTGGATTAATTTAAAAGTTATTAAAATTTCACCTACATGTCACAACATGGATGAAACTTAAAAACATAAGGTGAAATGAAAAAGACAGACATAAAAGACCACATATTATGTAATTTCACTTACATAAAATGCCCAGTATAGGAAAATCCATAGGGATAGATTAGTGGTTGCCAAGGGCTAGGGGGAGGGGAGAATAAGAAGCAACTGCTACAGGGTACACAGTTTCTTCCTGGTAATGAAAATGTTCCAAAATTGATCATGGTGAAGGCTTCACATCTCTGTGAATATACTAAAAACCACTAAATTACACGGTTTTTAAGGGTAAATGTTACAGTATGTGAATTACATCTCAATAAAGTTGTTATTTTTAAAATTAATCTCACCTGTTTCTCTTTACTTTTTTAAATGGTGCTACCGGAAATTTTTAAATTACATATGTGGCTCACATTATATTTCTATTAGATGACACTGGTTTATACCATTTGCCTAGCTCAGTGTCTTTAGCTAAGTCCTTTCTATCTGGACCTATTTCCAACACAGTTTCCATTATTACTACTTTTAGAATTGTAAAAAGTCATTATTGTCATTAAAAGATATATTACCTATATTGTTTTATTTCAAAGAAATGTATAATGTGTATGAGGACTAACAGACGTGTTTTTTTTTTCACTGACAACCTTCACCCCTCTACCCCCACCCTAATGTTTCCTACAAAAATCTGTTTTTCCACTTAAATTTTAATGGCCCCATGGGTTTCAAGGACCCAGCCAGTGTGGGGAGGAATAACTGTAATACCCTGGAAAGTCTTTACCAGGACACGGGCAAGATGAATATTGGGCGCTGTCTTTACCTCAATGGCCTGGGGAACCACACATCTTCGAGGCCCATGGGGGACTCCTAATTGGCCAAAGGAGTTGGATCCACAGGATAGAACTTGACCATTTTCTGCAAAATACACATGCTTCGATTACAATCCAAGAACTAAGATGTTTTGACCAATGGGTGATGCTGAAGGAGCAAAGGGAGTGAGAAGAAGGAGAGGGTCCTGTGCTTCAGCGCATTCAAACCACGTTCCCTGCTGTTGTTCCCCAGGAATGGAAACACAGGGCACCGGGCGGTTTTACAGACAATCCACTACACTGCCTAATTCAGGACAGAGGAGCTGTGGAGCACACCTAGCCCAGTGCTTAGTGCTGGGATAGAAGGGTGCTGATTCCCCACTTTTCATGTTTCCATGTAACACAATTTCCGTTCTTTAACACCCAGGCCTTTCTCCCTGCCCTTCCCACACTCACTGCTTTCTAGCAGAGGGGTAAACTAACCAGGTGGTGAGTTTGGGACAAGGAAGGAACAGGACATGTGTGGCTTGGCACCTTCCTCTCACGCACTCTGGGCTGACATATAGTAAGGGCTTCCCCTATGGGCAAGGCCTAGAGTTTGGGGGATAAGGTCGAATCAAAAGAGCGTTAGCAGAAATTAGGCCTGACAACTAACCCTGTCCTCCAACTTAGCCTTTGTCAGCAAAAAGCCAAGAGTTTCAGCTCCACCGGACTGACTGTTCTCCACCTTTCTCACAACTGGTTCCAAATATGAACAGGAAACAGTGTCATCTACTGACTCCCTATAAACCCAACACCGGCCCACAACGAGCACTTCATAAATGAGAGCTATTATTTAGACCCTAATAAATACTACCAAATGCAGCACACATCACGGAATCCCGCCGCAGAGAGAGATGATGACACCCTCTCAGGGTTTTAAAGACAGGGCAAGAGCTCACCAGACAGACGCGAGAGGGGCTGTTGCAGGCAGAGGACCACATGTACTACGTGGCATTACCAGAAAGAAAAGTATAGGGAGCGAGGAGAACAAGAGCCAAGGCAATGGCGGGAATAGGAAGGGAACCGTAATTGAAGGCCATGTGCTAAAAACCTTGGGATGTGAGCTGTGCACGTGAGAATCCACAGGGGTTTGAGGAGGGGCTGTGGGACGGGCAGGATTACATAGTGAGAAGATGCTCTTGCCAGAGGACTGTGGCAAAGAGGGACCTTAGGAAGAAATTGTAGATGGTCCTTTGAATCCAGCATGGCAAGCTAGATGGGGCAAACTGCTTCCAGGGAGAAGTCAGCAGACAGAGTATCTACTGTCATCTGATTCCCAAGAGCATTACAGTGTTCCCTCAGTATTTGCAGGGGATCGGTTCCAGGACCCCCTGCAGATACCAAAATCTGAGGATGCTCAAGTCTCGTATATAAAATAGCGTGGAACAATGTATACAGTTTGCCCTCCACCCCCACCAATTCCCAACCATGGATTGAAATGACAGTATGTACTGCTGGGTTTTTGTTTTTGTTTTCATTTATTTTATTTTTTTAAGATTTTATTTATTTTTAGAGAAGGGAAGGGAGGAAGAAAGAGAGGGAGAGAAACATCAATGTGTGGTTGCATCTCGCGTGCCCCCTACTGGGACCTGGCCTGCAACCCAGGCATGTGTCCTGACTGGGAATTGAACTGGCAACCTTTTGGTTCGTATGCCTGTACTCAATCCACTGAGCCACATCAGTTACAGCTGTACTACTGTTTTTAACCAGCAGTTGGTTGAATCTACAGACGTGAAACGTACAGATACAGAGAGCCAACTGTATTCTATTAACCCTTTACCCATATCTCTCTCCATCCTATTCTGCTATCTGGCTTCACAGAGAAGGAACAGTTCTAGCCAACGATATTTATGTATTTTTTTAAAAATCCCTCATTGGGAAAAAGCTACTATCACTGTTGTGTCAACCTCTGATTTCCTCTCACTCCCCACCACATTCCCCAGGAGTAACCTGTAGCCAGCGCAACTGGTCAGCTGGCCCAGTCACATAGCTATCATGAACTTCTGGGACAGGAAGTGGCCACCAAAGGCAATCCAGTCCATTCCCCAGTCTCTGGCAAAAGTTTTCTAGCCCAAAGTTTTAAAGATTTTAGTTATTTACTTTTAGAGAAAGGGGAAGAGAGGGAGAAAGAAGAGGGTGAGAAATATCAATGTGAGAGACAAACATCAATTGGTTGCCTCTCGTACACCACCCGACCAGGGACCAAAGCAAACCCACAACCCAGGCACATGCCCTGACTGGGAAACAAACTGGCAACCTTTCACTTTGAGGGACTACACCCAACCAACCGAGCCACACCGGTCAGGGCTCCAGCTCAAAGTTCGACTGTTTAAACTCTTCTTGCAGAAGACACCTTGCAACGTCCCTTGATAATGAGAGAACATTTGTGAGTATTTTTACACACAAAGAGGCTTTCATTTAATAAGCATCACCATTCATGCTCTTCTCACTCAAAGCCTTTGTGGTGATAAAGATTTACCTAGGAGTGAACTCACCTGTGAGAATAATGGTGAAGTCCCAGCCACAGGCCACCTGTTGGATGGGACAGCCAAGGAGGGACTTGCAGGGTGTAAAATACAGAACGTCCTCTGTGTGACCAAGCCCCAACTGTCCATCTTTGTTCAGGCCACAAACAAAAAGACTTCCTCCATCTGCCAAAAAAAAAAAAAGGCCTTGGTGATCATGTACAGGAGAAATTACAACTGCCGAAGTGAGCAAAAGGATTTCACTATTTATTTGGAGTGACAAATGCAATAACTTTTCCCCACTCACATTAATAAGCCATGTATGTTAATGTGGACTGAACCAAATGGCATTGGGCCAAGGGGCTCAAATCTAGTATCTAAATGGAAACTGCAAGTGCGACGGTAGTGGCCAATCAATCACCAAGTTAGGCATCTACTGTAACATACAGCCAGCATCTCTTCTGTACTTAGGATGCACCAGGTACTGTTCTTGGAGGTTTTTGTGTGGGGCCCACTTATCCTTTAGGCACAGAGCCTAGGCCCCACAATACTTTTAGAGGCCTGCAAAAATGTTTAATTTTAAATATTTTTAAAATAAGAAAAATAAATGTCATAATAAATATATAATATTAAATCTAGCCTGGATTATATTAATCTTTATATCAATGCAGCTATAAAATATGACGTTTAATATTTCTTTATGGAGAAAGAAGGCCACAAAGGCAAAAGTGCCAAGGACCCATAAAAGTCGTTATGCACCGATTCACTCATCAGTTCTTCCTGTCCACATTATCCCCATATAATGGAGAAGAAACCGGCACAGGGGGATTAAGTAATTTGCCCAAGGTCACACCGCTAATAAATAACAGAATCACAACTTGAACTCAGGCAGTTTCATTCTAGAGTTAATTTTCTTAACCAGGACGTAATATGCTCTCTTTTACAATATTGTAGCACTTGTAATACTTGTTAAGTCCTATCCTAGGTATTGCAAGGAAAATACAAAGTTCTTGCTCTCAAGGAATATTCAATGTAATTGCAGACTTCTAATTCATATGTGAAAGTTAAATAGCCACATACGAGGTCTGTCCAGAAAAAGTCCAGCCATTGTTAATATAACAAGAATGGTCTGCATGACATTGATGTAACCTGGCAGCCAAGGAGAGCGGACTGGAATTCACATGCATTACATGAACAAAGATGACTTCACTGTACTAGTCAGTGGGGGATGGTAGATGCCGTTGAGTGAGCATGTGTACTGTGAGGTCATCGCATTCAAAATGACTGTGCGAGTAAGGCAACGAATCTGCATCAAATTTTGCATGAAGCTTGAACATTTCTCCGTGGAAACTCTTTGGGTGATTCTGAAGGCTGCAGCTCTGGGCTACTGGGGATTGGAAATTTCATCAGGACAATATACCTGCTTATGCATCACGTCTCATGCAGAGCTTTATGGCGAAACATCAAATCACCCTGGTGACTCAGCCCCTCTACTGCCCGGATTTGGCACCCCGCCACTTCTGGCTTTTCCCAAAACTAAAATCACCTTTGAAAGGGAAGCAATTTCAGACCAGCAATGAGATTCAGGAAAATACAACGGAGCACCATGGCAACTGGGAGAATTATGTGGGGTCCCAAGGTGCCTACTTTGAAGGGGACTGAGATGTCATTGTCCCAGTTACAATGTTTCTTGTATCTTGTATCTTCTTCAATAAATGTCTCTATCTTTCATGCTACATGGCTGGGTACCTTCTGGACAGACCTTGGATGGTACGAAGCGTGATATATATTGCAACTCTGCCACGAATATGTCTTGTAACCTTAAGCAATCAGTTTTCCTCTCCGTGTTTCACTTGTGTAGCAAGATTGGGGGTGTGGGGGTGAAGAGGTAGGAGCCTCAGGAGAGCTTAGAACATCTCTGAAGTCCTTTCACCTCTGACCACCTAGGATTCTCTGATAGCTTGGCTCTTTCACAAAAATGCTTCCCTCTGCCAAATACAAAAGGCTGAAAGATGACAATATGACATCCTGGGGAGAAATGTCTAAGTAGGAAAACATGGGGCTATCTACTCTTGAAGGGAAGTTACCTGTGACAACAGCAGAGTGGCCCCCTCCTCCCGTGATCCTCCTGACAGACACAGGTTTACAGAAGTCATTAAGTTGTTGGGGCAAAAGTACATCTTCCTTATGGCCGAGGCCAAGTTGCCCGTAGCTATTTGCACCCTAGGGATAAAATAAAGCAAGGATGAAAAATATATGGGAACCCTAACTGTCGATGTTTCTTCACCTGGCCCTGCCTTTCTCACCCCGACAATATCTGAGCCTGTAACAAATGAGATTTCATCAACTCATTCTTAAGAGGCTGTTCCATGCAACCCACACTGAGCCGGCGGCCCCGTCCCCAGAACACCACGCTTTCCATGTGAGAGGAGCCTTAGCCTCCACAGCTTATCCACAATGATACTCCTCACCTTCCCCTTCCAATGCCCCAGCCCCCACATGTTGCTTTTGAGGGGCAACATGGGAGTTCTTCTAGTAAAAGCTAATTACCTGAGGTGGCTAAGAAAAGAAATAATGAGGGGAAATGGGAACAAAGTGGGTGGGAAATAGGCTAGGACTAGTTCTTGTCCCTTCTCCCCACACCCCGCAGAGAAAACTGGCACTGACTTTCTGTAATCAAAGTTAGCGAGGATTTCTGCCCTCAGGCAGGGCCCATCACTGTTATTTCATCTGTAAGTGAGAGAGGTTGGCACCGATCACCAGCAGCCTTTCCAAGTGCTATGTTTTGTGAATCTAAGATTCACACGGTGAGATCCCTGTAAGGGAACAGATTTCCTTTTGGTGGGCAATGTGTCTATCGTTATTATACAATAAAGGTCCATAATCCCTCATTTTAAACCCTTGTAGCCAGGTACGAAAAGTAATATGGTATATAAATCCTATACACCTCTGCAAGGTCTGGGAGCAGTGCCCCATGAGCAAAATAGTACTATTCCTGCAGTAAACAGTACACAGATTCACAATAAGTGGACAAAGGCTATAAACAGCCTATGTCAGGTCAGTTTAGGGTATTTAGAGCTTTTTGTTTTCAAAATGAAGATAAGGGCTTGGGGGCCTGCAGAGAGAATCTAATTAAGATTTCAGAAATCCTTATAATTTCTCCAAATATCTGCTTCTGGCTTGTTCCTCCCAGAGATGAGTAATAAAACCTTTAAAACGTATTTGTTCTTAAAATGCCTGATTTAAAACAACTACAAAAAAGACATACATTACATATAAACTCCTGCCCCTTGTGGCCTCTTCCGCAGTTGTCTGGGACTGCAAGGAGTCCACGCTGGCAGAGCAAGCCATGGCAGGGACACAGGTCCCACAGGCCCTCGAGAGCAGCATCAGCTGCCAAGGACTGAGTGCCTCTCCCTGTGGTGAATGGCTCTCACCGTTAATTCTCACAACAACAGAGGAGATAGGGGCTGTCACTCTCTTTGTGCAGAGGAAGAAACTAAGGCTCAGAGAAGTTAAGTAACTTTCCATTGTCACACAGCTGAGTAGGCAACAAGTCAGATGCCCGCTCCTTTCATTATACTGTGTCTCTAAGAATAAACAAAATAATATATAGGGTGAACCAGCCCAGACCTTTCCTGGCAAACTGCTGACTGTATGACCCTATCTAAAATAGTACCCCTATCATTTTTTTCTGCTTTATTTTTCTTCATAGCACTCACTGACATTACGTTATGTATGTTTATCTGTTTACTGTCTACCTCCTAAAAAGTAAATTCCATGAGGGCAGGAACTTTGTTTTGCTCACTGCTATTTTCCCTGCATCTGAAACTGTGCTGGCTCAGAAATGGTGTGCATATATTTTATAGTGAATGAATGCAAGGCCCTATGAATCTCTACCTAGGAAAGATCAAATGAAAAGCTGGCACAGTGTGAAGTGGAGGGCATAAGCACAGGAATTCTCCGTCAGCCCTGAGGTCTCATGGCTGTCCCATTACCAGGGTTACAGACCACTGAACAGAAAGTCAGACAATGGCATTATGGAACTCAAACTATACCGAATTTTTGTAATGCAGCAAGAGGCCCTAAATCCATGATAAAGCAAAACAAAAGGAAATTTTAATACAATCTATTACAGCTCTATTTCCCTCTCTTCCTTATAAACACTCCAGAGAGCACACACATCTCTCTCTCTCTCTCTCTCTCTCTCTCTCTCTCTCACACACACACACACACACACACACACACACACACAGCTCCAAGGAGGTAAATTGCTTTCTAATAGTCTGAATTGTGTTCCCCTAAAATTCATTTGTTTAAACCCTAACCTCCAGTAGCTCAGAATGTGACTGTACTTGGACACAGGGCCTTTAAAAAGGTAATTAAGGTTAAATGAGGTCATAACCGATGCCGCCTTAATCCAATTTGATTGGTGTCCTTACAAGAAGAAACACAGGGATGCTCTTGCACAGACAAAAATCCATCTGAGGACACAGCAAGAAGGCTGCCATCTCTAAGCCAAAGAGAGAGACCTCAGAAGAACTAAATCTCCTGACACCTGGATCTTGGACTTCTGACCTCCAGATCTGTGAGAAAATAAATTTCCATTGTTTAAGCCCCCGAATCTGTGGTATTGTTATGGCAGCACTAGCAAACTAATGCACCCCTCCACCCAGATAACGCAGCTGGAAGAACACACCCTGAGGTCTCAAGGCACAGCAGTGGGGTTAGGTTCAACAGTCTTTTTGTTTCGGGACAGACAAGGCCAAATCCGAAAGGCTTTTTTCTGTCAGATGTTTTCTCTGTCCACACAGACCCCAGTCTCCAGCCTGGGGAAAGCCAGAGACACCACCCATCCCAGGCACACATTCAGTCCCCAAGTCCACCACCAGCTCAAGTACCACCTCGAATATACTGATAGCCAGACTAGCGGAAGCCACACCACCCTCCTGTGAGTCTGCAGCCTTACATTCAACAAGTTCTTCCTTGTGCCGATAATTACCTTTTTTTAATTAGTGAACATATATTGGTTTTTTAACAGCAATATAGGGATCTCCTCGCCCCCATTCCAACTCATGTTTTTCCCAAAAGGCTAGCACATAGCTCACACACAACAGGTACTCGTTCAGTCGTTAGTCAACAAAGATTGGCTGAGCACCTTACCATGTGCCAGGCACCGTGAAAAAGAGAGGCACAGCAGCCACTGTTAGGATGCTTACAGTCTAGCCAAGGAAACCGGCATTAACAAATTATGCATTTCATTACAATTGGGCTACGTGTGATGAAGAATTAAGAAACAACATCTGCTAGTTCCCGTGCATCTGGTCAGGTGCCTGCCACACACGCCTGTGCCCAGGTCCTCCTCTCTCCCAGCTCCGACACAAAAAGATGACCCTGTCTCTCCGATAACGGCGCAGACTCCCACTCCCCCAATGCAGGCAACATCCGGATCGCAGCAGAATAGCTGCAACTATGCAGGGTCTCTGCCTTGTGCACCGCCAAGCACTGCAGGCCTCACAGGAAAGGATGCTCCCGCCAGGACGGAGTGGGGCTGGGGAAAGGCCCCATCCTCCGGGCAATGGGAGGGTGCAGAGCACAGGTGACCCACAGGGCTCCGAGACGGGGCGATCCTCTCTCTTCAGAGCCATCCATGCTGTGTTTCCCGGGATCTCGCGGAACCAGACGTTCTGCCCTGGAGGCAGGTTCTTCCCTGGAGGCAGGTTCTTCCCACCGAGCCGCAGCCCCTCCGGTCCGGACCCCATCAGCCAGCAGACCCCCTAAATTACCCCATGAAGACCCTTCCCTCTCGCCTTCTCTTCCGCCACCAGCCCAGGACCCTCCAACCCAGAGCCTGAGTGGGGATCGGACCTCCGCTGCCAAGCCCACGACTGCCCACACTGAGGCCGGGAGCTCCAGCGTCCGTGCGCCCCTCGGTCCCAGCCGCCTCGGCGCGGGGGCGGAGTCACGTACCCAGGCGAAGAGCGCGGCAGGAGCTGGGGTAGCTTCCGAGGCGCCGGGCTTGGGCTCCATGAGGGACTCTCCAACGACGCTTCCGGGTGTGGCCAACGCGGGGGGCGGGGACCGGCGAAAGGGGGCGGGGTCTTGGGCGGGGCCGGAGGGCCGCGCCCTCGTGCCGCCGCTAATCAGGACTGTGCGAGAGCCAGGCAGCTGCCTCCCAGTGGCCCCGCCCCGGTACGCTCTGAGCGTCTCCGCCCCCGGCCTCCTGTTTTGCAGGGTGGCTGTGTCTCTCTTGGCCTCTATTTTTAGTAATAATTCTTTACGAGAAGGTGCACCGCGCTCCTTCTCACACCATCTCCTTGGAGTCCAAAAACAGCCCAGAGAGGCTGACAGGGCTTCACCATTTGTTAGGGAAGAAACTGAGCCTGGGAAGGGGTGGAAATTGTCCTGCCCCAGGGTCTTAGGCAGAACTTGGTTGGGCCTGCGGTGGTGTGCATTTGCAAAATCTGGGGGAGCTTCTTGGTAGATGAGGATAGTGTCTTACTCTCGCTGGTGTCGCCCTCAGCGCCTAGCATGGAGCAGGAACTTACACTGAGAAAGCTGGTTCCCGTGAATTCCTGCTGGGGCAGCCTTCTGACTCTCAGTGCTCCAAGCATGGCCCAGCCCTGATTCTGCTCATCAATACTGGATAATTTTCATCCAACAAAGATTTTCACATAAAATGGCTTTTATAAGGCAACCTCATACACTTTTGGTGGAAGCTAAATGAGCACAATTTTCCTGAAGGAAAATATTAGTAATATGAAGATCAGATATTTACTCAGTAATTACACATCAGTTCATTTATCTCAAGAAAATAATCAGAGCTGTGCATAAAGTCTTAAACTGCAAATTATTCATTATAGGGTTACATATAATAGGAAAGACCTTACTACCTGAAGTCCAAAAACAAATTTATTAAATTATGGCGTAGCCATGCAATAGAATACTAGACTGTCATTTAAAAATATTCTTTAAGATATTAAGTAAGGGAAATATTCATGATATATCGTTCAAGTGTTATACCAATTACACACACACACACACACACACACACACACACACACACTCCGGGTGGTGAATCACGGGTGATTTTTTATTTTTTTTGCACTTTTTTGTACATAACCCACTTTATTTTGTGGGTACAAATGGGGTCATATTAAGGATAATAATCCATATTCACTAATTCTTGACCCTTGTAATGACCCAAGCCTCCTGTACTCATCACCCTATAAGCCTGGGAGCCGTGGAAAGTGCCTGGGGTGAGCTCTTAACACAACCCTTTCCTCTTTCGCACCACCACTCCTCGTTGTTTCTGGCTGTAAGACCACTAGAGGGCAGCACCTCTACTCTTGCCTTTCCAGACTGTGGCCATGCTGGAAAAAAAAAAAAAAAAAAAAAAAATCCTAAAAAAAGCCCCCCACAAACTTTAGCAAGGCAAAGCAGCTCTTTGTTCTCCGCGGAACCTGATGTGCAAAAGCTATGCCATGTTTGCTGATTGTTTTATAAGATTAGCTTTTTTTCGTTATGACAATTCCTTTCAAGCATATGTAATAGGATATAAAAATGGGACCCTTCCTGTCTCTCTTTTGGCTGAGACCCTCAAGGCAATACATGCCAGTTACTCTCACATTATAAAGTGAGGTACAAGATCACCAAAGCATAACTTGTAAAGAAGGTATCTAGAAACCAGTGTATGATATCCAGTCTGTGAAAGAGGTTGGAGAGGCTGAGAAGGAATTCTGATAGGATATATAGCAATAGCTGGGAATGCACCCTGGCTGGTATGGCTCTGTGGATTGAGCACTGGCCTCCAAACCAAAAGGTCGCCGGTTCAATTCCCAGTCAGGGCACATGCCTGGCTGTGGGCCAGGTCCCCAGTTAGGGGCATACAAGAGGCAACCTCACACGTTGACATTTCTCTACCTCTCTTTCTCCTTCCTTTCCACTCGCTCTAAAAAAGTAAATAAAATCCCTAAAAAGTGTCAGTGTGCTGTGAGTCCATACCCAAGAAAATGTACACTTCAGCAGGGCTACTTAGAGCATGTGTTGAGTATCCCTCCAGATTGGGACACGAACAGGTTGCTGTACAGTTTGTGCTTAGAAATACAATGGCTTATAGTTAAATAACTACTCTTTTAGTTGAGTAAAAAGACATAGTTGAGTAAAGAGACATAGTTGAGAAAAGAGACACTGATGCTTTGAGATCTTTCATGCCCAGTTTTTCATGACAATGTGTGAGTGCCATGAGAGTGTTCCCCAACCACGCATGAACAACTTAGCCAAGGGACAGACTAGACGCCATCCAAGGGACTTCTGTGATACTTCAAGAGTGTTGACCAGTAGATTCTTAGAAGCTGAGGGAGATGAATTCAACAGTCCAGTCAGAGAGGTACATTTACCCACATCAAGAAAAATTAGAAGGTGGAAACGTGGAAAACACCCACGGAGAGTGAGTCAGCACTAAATACCTACCAAGTACAAAAAGCACTGGTGTCAACTCACAACAGTATCAGGCCGGAAAAAAAAATCTACTCCTTTCTGCCACTATTCCTGGAGGAGCCAGAGGCATGCTAACGAGTGGGGTAGGAGGAGCAAGAAAATGAAGTTAAACACACACCTTTCTTTCTCGGTTGTAAAGAAGAAAAATGTTAAACTTAGATAAAGTTTAGTGTTTTGAATTTTGGAGAGAGAGAGAAAAAGAAAGAGAGAGAGAGAGTAGAAGCTAAAAACTGAAAGTGAGCAGAAAATTCAAGGCCAGGACCTGAGATTTCATTCAAATAGGCAAAGAAGAACTACCCACTGAGCCAGTTTTAATACAGAAAGGGCCTGGGAAGATACAGTTGTTTTCTTTCTTTTTTTAAAGATTTTATTTATTTATTTTTAGACAGAGGAAAAGAGAGGAAGAAAGAGAAGCAGAGAAACATCAATGTGTAATTGCCTCTCTCATGCCCCCTACTGGGGACCTAGTCTGCAACTGAGGCATGTGCCCTGACTGGGAATTGAACCGGTGACCCTTTGGTTCGCAGGCCAGTGCTCAATCCACTGAGCCACACCAGCCAGGAATTGTTTTCTCATTTCACTCCTTGAATGTACATGCATCAATACTTTCGCTAACTTGCAGTTGTATTATTATGTTATATCTCTTAATACAATTTCTTGGAACTGTTCAGATGTTGCGACTATTTCAGCTATGTACACGTCACTGACTAGCACCCCCACCCAGCCCCCCATTAGCAGTCTGGTTGAGTTGCAGTTGTTGAACGAAGCTAGACTTAAACTATTTGATAGAGTAACTTTCAGATGCCTTGACTCCCCATTAGAGGAAAAAATAAAGTATTTGGGGCCATACAAATTATATCTCTCTACTATACATGTTAGGAAATTTTTTCTATTAGATTATCTTATTTGATCCTCTCAGTATTACTGGTATGGTAAGTATTATTAGGAGCATAATTATTTTGCAGATGAGAAAAGTTATGCTCAAAGAAGTTAAGTGATTTACTCCAAGATCAGATTTCCGTTTTTAATAAAGGAAGATTAGCTGACTGCAGACCAATGCTCTCATCAAAACAACTAGAAAAGCTGGGGACAATAGTTTTTAAATCTGTTTCAAGTGATTGGAGAACTATCAAAGCAACCAGAACTTAAAGGATTAATATCTGAAAGCTAAGAGATTATATTTGGCACATTTTTTCTGCTTGAAGCATTTGCTAATTAACAAAGCAGTGACTTGGAGACTAAGAGACTAAGCTAAAAGCAGCAGCTAAGAAGCTGAAAACCCAAATATTACTTTAGTAATCTTATGGAGGTGTGGGAAATGGAAGGGAAGGAGGTGACGAAGCTAGGAGTCCAGGGCTCCCAAAAAGTAGCCCTGGGGCATACCTATTACTTTGCTTTGGAATTTCTATAGGGCTGCACCCTAAGAGTAGAGGCAAACCAGAAATAGACTGGGCTCACAAACTCTGACGTTCAGCTCAAAATTGTCTTAATCCCTAACTGGACTAAGAAGATCTTTCCATGCCATTATATACATACTGCCTGCTGGAAGCAAAAGATTCCCTCTGGAGGGAGATAAAATCATCCAGAAGCTATGGGGGATCTCCAATTGGAGAGTGATTACATTAATTATTCTTTACATACGGTTGAAGATACTACATTTCCTTTTAAAAAGTCCTCTCACAACATAATTTGTCCAGTAGCCCAGTGAAGTAGATTTGCTCATTTTACAGATAAGAATCACAAGGTTGAGACTTCACCAAGAATTCCAGAAAAATGGTTACTAGATCCTAAGTGTGTTTGGCTTCCTTTATCTCACATAGTCACAGGCTTTTAAAGACATATAAAGATGTGATAGATTTCTTAAACTAAACAATTGAGAATATATTTCAATTAGTTTTTAACATGTTTGACAGAAAATAAACGCTTTCTGAGAACATGAATTTTGTATCCATTTATTATCCAGTTGAATAACAAACTTGCAAATCATAAATGTATATCACATAGTAAAACAAAGACTGGACTAAAATAGAACACAGTATCTTTATATATTTCCTATAAATTAATATATGAATTCTATTATATGTTCTTTCAACTACAAGCAACAGGGCAAGAAAAACAAAAAAAAGAATTATGAATCAAACCTTTGGTTCAATTCTATCCCTAGATGCTTTGAAGATAGATACTTTGAATGCATAGAAATTCTAAGACTTGCAGGAATCCTGATTTACCACACATCACAAATTCAGAGGTTAGAAGAACTGAAGTCAATCCTTAGATAGTTCCATTATTTGGAAGTTGTTCATTATAATGGTTGTACCTTTAAATATTTTAGTGTGCTTTAGTCATAGAGTGATTTTAAATACCATCATTTAAAAATTCAATAACTATGATTCTTCACTATGATCGAAGCTGTATGAAAAAAAGATACAGTATGTATAATTTGCTGTTATTTGCCATCTATCAATATCTTACAAAGAATTTCCTTGAAACCAAATATACTATTAACTAGCTAATGAATATTTGAAATCATTTTAGATTAGCTGAC